ATATATATATATATATATAATGAACCAAATTAGAACGGACGACGAACAAACGAGTCTGCTTATACTGTATGTGTTTCGTCTGCCTCTGCAACTAAGGCCCAACAGAACAACGCGTAACAACCCTTTACGGATGAGGGATGGAGTAAGAGACTGCTCTCGCGGTCTCACTCACTCTCGCTGAGAGAAAATTTGAAGGCCCCGGCAGAACGTCCCGCTGTGAAAAGTTGTCGAAGATTTCAGCGGCGGACTGTATGAATGAATGACTGTCCGTTCGTTCCTTTGAGAGGTTAGAGAGCGGTCGTGCTAATCAAAGAAATGCGAAAGCTAGAACCTAGTGTTATCGGAGCGCGAATGCTGTGAGTACATCTAACGAGAGCGGGCAGATCGCCCGTGAAAACATGCATTTTCGCGCCCTTTGCGCTCCTTCCCTGGGTCACCGTTTGACGATTTGCAAACCTGTCCGTCTTGGCGGTGTAACTATGCCGCTACCCTTCCCCTTGGTTACTGTTGGTAGGTCAGACGAGCTAGACCAGCTCGTCCGCGAACAAGCCAATGCGTAAAATTTGCGGCACTTCGTCGCTAAGCATTGTCTTGTAGGAGGCGATATCGCATTGCTGATTGGCTGTCGATCACGCCTGGCAGCTGGGTCGATCACACCCGAGCGTGAAGGTCACTTTGCGAGTGCGCAGCGGCATCTGGCGGCGGAGGCGGACAAGTCACAAGTGAACAACAAACAATGCGGCGCCGGTGACGTGTTTCTGACGTAATAACCTCTCTGCATTTGCGATGTTCGCAGGCGTGGGCGGTGGCACCTAACAATGAGATCTACTACCGCACCGGCGTCGTACACACGTGCGGCTCCGAAAACAGCGCAGCCGGAATCGACTGGCTGAAAATCGCCGGAAGCTTGAAATTTGTGTCAACTGGTCCTGCAGGTACATATACCCGCCATTTCGATTTAATTTCATATTTACACGGTAGGAACTCGCTAGTAGTAGATGGCGAACCAAAGTGTAGAATTAATTAATAATTATAGAATTAATTCGAATAGAATTAAAACATAATAATAGAACAAACAAAAGATGGTTCCTGATAGAATCGGAGCGGTGCGCATGCGCACACGCGGTAGTCTGGCAGGAGAACCCATAAATATCAAAACTACGCTTATGTTATGGGATACAAATGGGAGAATCCACCCCCACCCAGCCACACCAACAAACACACACACACACACACACACACACACACACACACACACACACACACACACACACACACACACACACACACACACACACACACACACACACACACACACACACACACACACACACACACACACACACACGACACACACACACACACACACACACACACACACACACACACACACACACACACACACACACACACACACACACACACACACACACACACACACACACACACACACACACACACACACACACACACACACACACCTTATATCTTTTGTTTATAGATCACACCATCGGTAACATTGTCGAATTTCCACACAGGTGTTTGGGGAGTGAACGGCAATGACATGATCTATTACCGCGTGGGCACGAACAACGGGCAGGTCGGCGAGGGGTCATCGTGGCAGCTGGTGGAGGGCAGACTCGCACAGATCAGCAGCGGGAACGGCTACGTGTGGGGCGTCAATTCCGTTAATGACATCTACGTGCGATTGGGTGAGTAACCATCGTCCCTATATATTGGCATAAGAATGTCACCTCGAAATATCTCTCTCTATATATATCTCTCTCTATCTTTCTCTCTCTCTCTCTCTCTCTCTCTCTCTCTCTTCTCTCTCGACTCGCTTCTCTCTCTCGTTCTCTCTCTCTCGCTCTCTCTCTTCTCTCTCTCTCTCTCTTCTCTCTCTCTCTCTCTCTCTCCCTCTCCCTCTCTCTTCGCGCCTCTCTCTCTCTCTCTCTCGCTCTCTCTCTCTCTCCTTCTCTCCTTCTCTCTCGCTCTCTCTCTCTCTCTCTCTCTCTGTCGCTTCTCTCTCTCTCTCTCTCTCTCTCCCTCCTCCTCTCTCTTACTCATACTACATGGATGATATATATTGTGCACGCGTTAAAACGTACGCATACTACGCGGGAAGTGCTTTAATACAATCGCTCAAAGCCGCGTGTTCTTCGAGACGAAACCACCTATCCCTGTATTACATGTACCACACTAGCGAACCACATTTCTATATTGCAGGCATCACACTGCGCGACACCTACCCTGCGTTACGGAAAATGGCCCTCAGGATACCCGGAAAGCTTGCACGCATCACCGCCTAGCCAGCAAGG